AGGCCCTTCTTTGCTCTTTTTCTACATTGCGCTTCCACGTAACCTTGGAGTGAAGGATAATACCGATGTATACTGCCTTGGGAGAAAGGTTCAGGCTACTCCCATCTAGCTTTGGTAAGGTGAATGAGGAAATTTTGTTTTCCTCGTGAACAAGACAAAATATGTTTTAGAAGGTATGCCTCCTAGCTCATTTATAATAATAATAATAGATTGGCGCTTACACATATGTTAGTGTTTGGCCGAGCTTCTCCTCCGATTTGTGGCGTGCGCCTTGAAGTTGTCACACAAAACGGAGGGACCTACAGTTTTACGCCGACTCCGAACGGCGATTGTATTTTTATGAGAAGCTGTTTTTCATGGCAGAAATACACTCGGAGGTTTGCCATTGCCTGCCGAGGGACGACCGCTGTTAAGAAAAAAACCTTTTTTCTTGCGGAGTGGAAGCGCGCACTGCTTACCACTACACCACAGCGGCCGACATTTAGCTATCCATTATTTTGTTGATAATAAAACGTTTCGAACTAGTTTCTGAAAACCCCGCTGTTTTTTACTTTGTATTTGTAAAAAAATAAACTCGGTTCGCCATAAAATTCCCGCAAAGTGTAATTTTCTACGGAAAGTTTCAGCGGATCTTCCCAAATTGACTGTGCTATTTGTTTTTTTATTCAAAACATGTTTGTATTTATTTATCGAACGGGGTTTAATTTTCTTAATTTTTTTATTTTCTGTATTAATGTTTATGCTAATAATAAAAATCTAACAAAAATTTCTATAGATATCGCTTAGCTGGACTATAAAATGTATTTACATTTCATTTATTTACAGTGAAAAATCTACGCGTAAAACAAATTTTAATTCCATTTATAGGATATCGTAAAGATTTTTATAACCCCACTCGCAGCTACTACAGCTAACAGACAGTCTGCATGAAATCTGCACTTCACTCAGCTATTTACCACCAGCGACATGCACAAGTTATCGCGAATGCTTTGCCGTACAGGCTATAATCGTAAAGTTTTAAGACTGAATTGCTTTTTGCTGCAGATGCAGATGCAGATGCAATTGCATAAATTTATCGCCAATCTCCATTGTACACATTGTACTACCTGCGAGGCGTTAAAGATGATCTCACAAACGCACATTCTAGGCCAGCCAGTGCAGTGAGTTGGGTGAATGCTTTCGTTTTTTTGGTAATGAACCTTGCACTTTTACCTTCCGCTGATGTTTTCGTTTCGTTAACAGTTAATTTTGCTTTGTTTCTGCTTAACACATGCATCGTAAAAAAAACGGTAGCTTGGTGCACAATAAAGTATAAAATAAAATTGGATTATCAGCTGTGTGGATTTTGTGGCACATCTGAGTTATATCTGAATGTATACATCTGTAAATTTAAACACTCAAGGTCAGTAATTTTACGAATAGCTGTTGAGTTTTAATTTTTTTCTGCGAGGCTTTAGAGATTAACTTCATTAAAACGCATGTGATGGCCCTTGTTTGAAAGCATTCAAGTAATGAGTAGTAATAAGTAGTTGCATGTACGTAGTAAAATCCACTAAAACTTACAAGAAAAAGTGATTTTGTACACTTTATTTGAAGCGTAAATTTAGAGACAATTTAGGTATATTTCCAGTATTTTTATTCAACAGTATACATATATTTTGTGAATAGAAAAGGGATTTTCTAAATAGCTTAAAAATTAAATTTGTTTAAACGATTGGAAGGATGTTGATTCAAACTAAACATTGTAAAGCGCAATCACTCTGCATGTGTAGAGGTGCCAAATGGATTCGATCGATTCGCTTTTTATTACTATTAGAGCAATTCATCTAAACGCGCAAATGCCTCGTAACCACATATTTAAACCTCGTAAACCTAATTAATTGCACGGAATACCGATTTATTTACAAGTTTTACGCATTTACGAGTTTAGATGAATATAATGAAGTGTGAAGTGCAGCGTATTCGAACGAAAATTGCTCCTCACAAAAATCTTTTTTAAGTAAACAAATGATGGCTAGGAGCTAAATAGTATATATTTTATAATAATAATAGATTGGCGCTTACACATTTGTTAGTGTTTGGCCGAGCTTCTCCTCCGATTTGTGGCGTGCGCCTTGATGTTGTCACACAGAGCGGAGGGACCTACAGTTTTACGCTGACTCCGAACGGCAATTGTATTTTTATGAGAAGCTGTTTTTCATGGCAGAAATATACTCGGAGGTTTGCCATTGCCTGCCGAGGGACGACCGCTGTTAAGAAAAACCCTTTTTTCTATATTTTTTGCGATGTTGCTTTGACGAGGGTTTGAACCCAGGCGTTGCGCAGTGGAAGCGCGCACTGCTTACCACTACACCACAGCGGCCGACAACGTATGTATGTATTTAAGTTGAAACAAAAATGGTGTGGCACAAGTGTCAGATGTAGGCCCTTGACAGCTGCTTCAGGCCCATTAGAAGGGGTGTCCAAGCCTCAGTCTAGCAAACCCTGGCAATCTAACGGGAAGTGTTGAGATGATTCCTGCTCATCGTCTTTAATGTAACTTCCACAAAAAAAGATCCGATTTAACGTTTAATCTCACTGGGTGAATCCCAAATCATACAGTATTCTGGCAGCATACCCATCAGAATCGTAAGCTGTGGCTTTACAATCGTAAGGATCCCCAGACCGTTTCCGGTTCACCCTCGGTCAGAAAGATTTAGATTTATACGAGGCCCATATTTACAAAATAAGAAGGGCACATGTAGTCAATGGAATTCAACTCTCTCTTTTTGTCCTAAATGACTAGGACCGAACAACCGACAGAGACATGGAATATGTTCGGAATTCCATTAAAACCAGCATGGGAATGCTCCCAGCTTTCTAACTAGCAGTGTGCAGTGTTTGCGACCCGCTACCTTAAATCAGCTTTTAATTATAATAAAAGTCGAAAAGCTCATCCTTTTTGATTTTCCCGGATAACGTGTACAGAATTTCGATCTAAACGTATGCTGTTAGAATGTCTGAATTCTAAATAACCCTAACAAAAAATATTTGGCAAATGATTTGAGGCTGATCAACTTCACTGGGTCCTGAAATATTATTAAACATATGTACGTATATTCTATTAACCATATTCCAGTTGATAACTTACACAAAGTTATGAGACTAGATAGTTAGAAATCATAAACCCCGATTGATTATATTTGGATAAGTGTAGGGATGGCAGCGACTAATCACTTGATTAAATTAATCGATTATTTTTGGCCAATTTACGATTTAATTGTATCGTAGTTTTGTGCTTCATTAATCGATTCTTTTCGTGTTCGATTCTAAATTACTAGAAGTTGGTTGTAAATAAGCCGTATGAAGGCAAGTTGAGGAAAATGAAAACTGTTTACCCAAAACTTTACGGACTTTCGGAAAAATACTCTCATTTAGTTGGTACCTCGGTGCCTGCTGGGCGCCTTTTTTCAAAAGCTGGCGCTACATCCACCAAGAAACGCAACCGCTTAATAATGAAACGCTTATTAAAACTTTTGTTTTTGCAAAAATGGTTAAACAATAAATAATTATCGGCGCTAAAAATACTCGTTTTATTTTATTTTACGCTAAGTAACTAGATAATTAGAAAATTGGTATGAAAAATGTTTTTGTGAATACCAACTGTAAAAAAAGTGTTTTTAAAATTTCGATTTATCGATTATTTCTCAATAAATGGCAACTAATTGCAAGATAAGTGTGAGACGGGTAATACATGCATACAATCCGTTTTAGGCGTAAGTACATTTCGGCCAAACATTGCAGTAAAATACGAAGAAATAAATGCTGGAATAACGGCCTACCAACAAGTTCGAGGACTTACATACTTAAATTCTTAAGACCGGGGTAAGGAGAAAAATACGTGGAGTATTGCTTAGAGGGAAAATTGTTTAACTTGCTAAGTAAATAGCGTGGATATGATGTTCCGCTACCAACCTCTGGCGAACAGTGTCATCTACGCTCTTAACGCCACGTCTCCACCTTCTACAGACTCTGTTAAAAAAACAGTGCTGAGATAGAAGTTTCAGGTGGAGATGTGGGGTAAAATATGGCGGCGAATATGGTCAGACGGAAATATTCCTTAATTTCGCACGCTCGACCTCCAAGAAGGGTAAAGCCACCATCAAGGGCATTACCGGGGCTTATCAGTCTGACATTAGAGTTGGCTAATCCATCGAAGACTCGGACACCGCTGATTTTTAGGCCACAAAATATTGTTTTCCCTGATGGACCGCGTGCAAAGGGCGGCTCCCGTCGGAATCAGCGGTGCAGTCCGGATGGCTCGTACTCTAGCGCTAAATGTTATGCTCAGTGTCGCACCTATTTACATGGCGGGCAAAGTGGTGTCGGTGCGCTCAGCCAGTAGGAACAAAACCCAGCGTACGGGCAAACGATAATTCTCAAAACCTTCAACTTCTTACCGGAAGTAAAGGAACGGAGTACTCTGAGGCTGGCCTAAAAATGAATGCTTCTCCACGCATATCAGTCTCTGGAGTAAAGGTCCAATAAACAACTTCACGGGCAGATCGAAGCTGGACGGCACAGTTGGAGGCGATGCCTACTGCCAGCAACTCTCAATTAATATTATGTTTATACTGCCGGGTCTCTGGAGCATCTTTCAAGCATAGAAAGTAGAAATTTGATGAATAAATATAAAAGTTATGAATGGTCAAATGAAATGCGAGCAATAAAGAATGTTACTCATACGCGAATGAGTAACATTTTCCGTTGTAAAGTTTGAATTTTTCTCATTCAAAATGCAAACTTAAAATTAAAATATCTTGGGAAAATTACGCCGTTTGCGTATCTCGTATTTATGTATTCCACGGCCCAGTACTCATAAAATTTATGTTCTATACAAATATGCAAGTTAGTTATTGCCCTCCGTAAAGATATTTTCCATCTCATACTTAATAGAATTATTACACAATTAAACTTACTTGCCAATTGTTTATCAAAACTTTCTTGTATCTTTCTTGCAGTAACAACCAGGAAAACTTAAGCCACCAGCTGTTCCTCAACTTTGCTAGTTGGGACTCCCAGATTGGAAACGTGCACATCGGAAACCAAACACATAACAAGCTAATACTTACATAGGTATTATCTAGAGAGTACACAAATGATGAACTTCTACTTCTACGAAATAAGCGATGCATAATTCCTTCAAAGAAACAAGTAACACTAATATAAACATAACACACACTTGTGACCATTTAACTTTTATCTGACGGAAGTATAGAAATAAACACAAAATAAATGTAAGCTCGAAGAAAAGAAAAGCGCCCAGGATAACAGCAGCTTAGTACAACAGAAGAAAGCCAACAGGCGAAAAGTTGTGTGTAGCAGAAAATCGCCAGAATACGTAACAAAAACTCATTCGAAAAGTGAAAAACAAAGTGCAAAAACCCCACAGCAGAAGCAACTAAAATTAGAAAACGGTCATCAATTATCTGCTTAGCAGCAGGTGTAGGGGATAAAAGTAAAAACAGACAGGATAACCAGGCGACGGACGTCAGAATACAAAACACAACGGGTTGCTTGTTAACCACTACCACTTGAGCCGTTACGAACGTGTGAAGTGACTGCTCTATAAGTTGTGTGAGTGGAAAACCGACAAGGCAACGAAATTGGATTAGAGCTGTAGAATCGAACAAATCGGACGTTGTACTTAGTGCGAATGTGCTGGTAACAGGGCAAGTGGGCGCGTAACGGAACCTGGCGGAAGCTTAAGAGCATTGAGCGCAACAAATTACATATTCGCAAGTGTCCAGGAACTTGAAGTGAATGAGGGCGCACGTTTCAGCAAATGTATACTTAGTACATGTACCTACTTGTGAACAAAATTGACAGCCGATCGAAGTTAGTTACTGTCAATTAAACCTGTAAGTTTAACGGAACGCACAAACGCACACAAGCACTGATGTATGTAGTTACTAAAAACATATCTTGAGTCAGACAATGTGGGAGCGAGTAACTGTATGCCAAATGTGAGTGAACGGCTATTGAACTGGTTACGCTCATGCCAATGATTTCCTCAAGAAATTTCATGTATGAGCAGCAACAACAAAATCAACAACCTAACACATACCTAATTCAAAATGACAGATGTGTCACCGACAGCTGCACCAACAGCAACAGCAACAGTAACAGCAATGACAACGCCAACCGCAGCAGGCACGGCAACATCTCCGGTTGCCACGACAGCAGATGGCGACTTAACTGGCTCTTTGCTCAAAAGCATAGTTAGCTCTATCGATGACCCCGATGTCAGCATAAATAAATCTTTTACAAATGGAGATGGTCATCACGTGGACAAATTGCCGTCACTTATAAAAACTGATAAGCCACACTTGAATCAAAACAACAACGAGCGTGTAGTCGATAGCGGCGACAGTATGACAACCAGCTTGTCCAGCAAACGTTCCTCGTGCGGTTCAGTTCAATCACCCACAGCAGACGCAACTAGTCCGCGTGAACGCACACAATCCACCGACAATGGCGCCACCACTACCATTACCAGCAACAACAGCGCAACTAACTCGATATCCGCTTGTGACATGGCGACGCTAAAGCATTCCCCCAACAATAGCGCAGACAATACGGCTCTCAATTCGCCGGTGAGTTGTTGTAGTCCGATTGTGCACGCGATGACGCCGACGACGACAACTGCAGCAGCGGCCGAGCGGGCAGCCGCATGCAGTAATGGCGGCAAAGTTGCCCGACGTGAAGCCACGCAACAAGAAGTAGACGAAGTGGCGCGTTTGTTCGAGGAAAAGCCGGAAGCATTCGAGAAATGGCTGATGGAGCGTGCACCGCCAGAGGCATTGGCGCGATTGCACGAATTCATCGATTCCCGAAAGCCCCCGAAACGACCATCAGTGACATCCGATCTGTTTCAGCAATGGATGGCGGCGTCACCTGTGCCGGTGAGTAATTGTAGGGATAGTGGTTTTTGAACATAGATATAGGTATTAGGACGATTCATTGAAATATCGTGGCATATTTAAAATAATGAGACTTTTAAAGTATTTTCTAAAACCTTTAAATTCAATTTTTATTGAAAATTTCCACTAGGGATTGAAATGACGGAAATGTTGTGCTATTTAGTAAATTTCAATGATAGAGTCAATGTTATTGTTGCTTATTAACATTTTATTTTTAATATGTTTATTTAGCTTTGATAGAGATGATAGAGGTTTTTTCAATTTAATGCCCAGTAAAAGTTTTGCCATTTACTGCCCACCGGAAATTAATCGGGCCTGCAGTCTCCTAAAATCTCACTGCGCCCTGATATGCATATAACGCAGAGAAAAATCCAATCGGGCCTCTAACCCCGATGCACGACGATCCTTTTTTTTCGGGTATGAAGTCCTAGTTCTTAAAGTTTGCTGGGTGCTAATACCAAGGCTTCCTACTCACCCACCAGCGCTAGATAGGGAGTTGTCCGGAGCGTTCCACTGATTCCGACAAGGATGACACTTTACATGCGCTCTAACTTCCTAACTCCAGTAGACTTTTTTTTAGTGCATTTTAGAAACACTCACACAGTTAATTTCAAGTTTCGGCTACACCTGAGTTGAGTGCGGTACAACGCTGGTCACTTAATATCAGCCGAAATGCGAAAAAATAAATTATGCCTAACAACAGCGAAGAGCCTGGCAATTTCGCAGCCAATTTTAACTGCATAAGTGTGTACATTAGGGTGGTATAAAATAGGTAAAGTCGGAATTTTAATGCTCTCACCCCCTGGGATTGTTCTATGTATAGCGAACAAATATACTCCTATTGTTTTTTATTTTTAAATCAAAAAATATTTAGAGCTTTTCGTAGAAATAGTATAGAATTCTTGAAAATCATTGTCTTTCGATCGGAAAAATCTGGTTCTCGTCAAGAGACTTCCAATAAAAATACCGAATTGTTTATTTAACCATTTTCCCCTATTGCATTTGCTGGCATTTTTTGGGGATTTTGGCGGACCTATAAAATATAGTTACTTTGAAAAAATTATTAAATAAATAAAAGATTATTATTAGTGGGAATCTCCTGAAGTGAAACAGAGTTATCCGATGGAAAGATACTGATTTTCAGGAACTATATACCATTTTTACGAAAAGCGGTTTTTTTTCCATATATAATAAATACATGGAAAACTCTAAGCGCTTTGAGCAACCTTTAAATATTTTTTTTTCTATTAAAAAAAAATTGCGGTATATTTTTTTCAGTATAGAACCATTCTAGGGGGTGAGACCACCCTAATGTGCATACATATGTACGTGTGCAAAGCCAATTTTCCAATAGCAACAAAATAAAATATTATGCGAGCATTAAAAACAACTACAGTACATATAACGACTCGCGCTGCTTGCGTAACACTTTAAAATTTAATCGTTATTTACGAACAGTGCATAAACCTTTACATCCATTAAATGTTATATATAAATAAGTGTATATATGTATGTATGTATTTTCATAACTATTGGCCATAAAGTTGCATTCGCCGGCAGCTGTTGATATTTGCTACTTGGTGTGTCGCCAGTTGTTGCTTGAATGTGTGGTTTTATGTGGCTTCCGGTTGGCGGGTTTCTGGCTTTCCGCCTTGCTTTGCATTTGTTGCGCTTTATAGCACTTTTGGCCAAAATACATACATAGATTGCTGGCTGCGCTTTAGTAACAAATTGAACAAGCAATTCATAAAGTTTATTCATAAAATTTACGAGTTGTTTGTGCAACGTTGCTTGGCAAGTTGTTACAGTCTTCATTGATAGTTTTAAAATAAAATGTCTGCTGAGTGGCGTGTTAACATTTTATACGTATCATAAAAAACGTGAGCATAATATACTATGCATTTTATTTATTATTTTTTAATAGGTGAGCTATTTTCTCTTCTCTTTTTAAATTGAGATTTCACACTACTTATTTCAGCTTTTAAGATTCAAAAATATCATAGCATAGAAAATAGCATTTTCGCAGATTTCACGAAAATCGGACACCGATGAGTTCAGCGTTAGCCCGGAATCTTACGCATATTATACAGAGCATACTACAGTGTGATTCAATGTAAATAAAATACAACCAATTTTGTAGAAATTATTTTTATTTACATATTTTATTTTTATTAAATGCCCGCCCGTCTCCTGTGACATCACAGTATGGAATTGTTTGTCTCGAGCTAATTGGCATAGACCTCACAGAAAATAGTTCAATGGTGTCGAACCGCAAGATCTCGGCGGCCATTTTTCTTCGCCGTTAATAGGCTTTTAAATTTTACAGTAGTCTGTTAGTCAATGAGTTTACAGGAGCGGTATTGCATTTAAATTTACTGCGCGGGAAATGCAAAATAACACTAACTTTTCAAATTGCCCTCCTATTAATTTCCTACCATTAACGGAGACCAATAATTCATAGATATTTAAGAATTGCACTATCGCTTTAAAGACTTCAAATGCATTGCATTATTCAAACAATTTAGAAAAACATAATCGCATCACTAACTAATTGAAGTTTCGGTGCTTATTTCAACTCATGTCCTCTAAAATGTTGTAACCCAATTTACAATTTTGAAATAACCTTGTGAACTACATGCACTTATTGTTAGTCTCAAAATGAGTCAACAACAACATTCCCAATGTAACCACAATTCAATACTGTCAGTGAATCAAAAAAAGTCGTAAATGTATTTGCAAAAACATTTGCTAAAAAATACGTGTACTTTATTTGTTTGCGTGCCCACGCGTACAGTTTCCTAAAAAAAACAAAAAAAATCCATTTATTTCCGACTTTTATTGACGTTGCATTGAAAACAATCAGCAGCCAACACGAGACACGTGACCTCGCAACGAAAACTTCGAAAAACTCTTACTCGACATTCTGGCTTTATTTATTATTGATGGGCTGTCAGTAGATCTGTCATGCGAGTGTTTCGAGTATTACCATTGAACCGTTATTGTACATTTAAACTTTACAAAAGTTAAGGGCCATTGAGCAATGCGTTCAAGTGTATACCAGAAAATATTTTTAGTGATTTACCATAATTAAAATAAGCAAAATTTTACGGAAAACAGAGGAGTAAAGTTTTTAAATTTAATTTAAATTTAATTTTAAAGTTTCACTTACACATTTCTTATGTTGTCCATTGAGTTACCTCTTAGAAAATTTTCTTGGGACGATAAATGTATGAAATTCATGTGAAGTTTTTAGTAAAAGCACTGGCCGTCCAAACTTAAGTTCCACAACTAGCTAATTTCCATTTTTTAAATTTTTCAGCCAAGTTTTCTTGAAAAAAAGGCACAGCTGTGGTCCAATGCGATATTATATTGTACTGCATGGATTGCTAACGGATTGAATCCAGTCAGGAGTTCTATCAGAACTAAGATTAGGTGCTAGCTAGCTGCGGAAGTTTCCGCTATCGAGAAGGACTATGCAAATTTAGCATGTCAAAGCTTTCGACCAGCGCTTGCTGAATCGACTGAGTTCATCAGTACGCAGGCTGTCACTGGAACTCAGATACCCTCCCTGTCTGGATAGATGACCTCAAGCGTTCCCTGCCTAGTCAATTAATCATCTACGCAATTCCTGCAATATTCCTTTCTTTCTGATTTGAATATAATCCGAGACGACCGATAAAAATGACAAACATTTTCCGGCCAGTTTCTATTTTTACCCTTCTGATCTTTACATATTTCGCCAGTACGTAGCCACCCCCATCTACCGAACACTTTGGCAGCCTAAACTTAAGAGTAACAAAGCGTTCTATCATCTCACTTGACTGAGCCCCTGTTGCAGACGTTGCCCCTCAGCTAGAGGAATATCTGTAGAGAAGGTTCCAATTAGAACCAGCCTTGATACGCACCGATTTGTTTCTTTAGGTTTGAAGTCGGAAATTTTAAATATTTCAGAAATAGCAACCAGTGATACTTAGCCTCATGACAAAGCAGACTCACGATTGAGAGAATACAAAGGTTGCGCCGATCTCGGACCGCTATTCCTCTCTTAACAAATTTGACAGAATGGTTGTTTGCATGACGTCACACTTGTGCAACTTGTTTACGTTTTCCTTGCAACATTTTTGCTTCTTCTTCCATTCTTGCTCACGTTTTGGCATTTCTCTTTCGCAATTGCGCCAGTGTGACGTCACACAAAAGTTATTCTCAAAAATCCTCTCTGATCGGCGCAATCTTGTATTCTATCATTCTTGGAGCAGACTGCGGCAACCCTATCCGCAATGTCTAATTTCACGGTTTGCTATAATCTTCTCACGAATTTCCACTTTTCTAGTGCACTCTATTAGACCTCAATGACCTCATGCAACAAAATTGACTTCCCATAGCGCTTACATAGTAGTGTAGAGCCCCTGGATCCTTTTCTTACTCGCTCATCAATATTCGCTTTTCAAGATAGCATCCTTCCCGGGATCAAGCCCGACTTCGACTAAGCCGAAGTGGCCTCCATAAGATTATACAATGTGTCCAAAAACCTTCCTCTGTCGATGAGTACCACGTCGTTAACGTGAGCTATAAACCTTTCCATTCTCGCTCCTCCAGGCCGTCATTAGCGACGACCTTCCTTCGCGGAACATCTACTCACCATAAGCTGAACAGAGGTAACTAATTACCCATTCTGCTTCAACAGTTCTCATAGCAGGTTGTTCCCGACTAAAAGCTAAGACAGAGCTGTTACTTTCAATATCGAGGTCTTAGTTTTAAATGTATACCTGAAGTAATAGTGTGTAAGCCGGATTGCACTGATCTACTCCTCAAGTAGACGTGCATGCGAAAGACAGGTCAATTGGACTGTCGCGGCTCTTCAATAGGAGTATATGCTGATTGGGCTAAACTCCTTTGGATACAAGAAACTTACAATTCTTTAAGGCGTTTAGACGAATATCTGAAAAAAATATTTTTATTCTAAAGCACACGGAAGTTTCTAAAGCCAATTAAGCTTATGAAAAAATTTGAACTTAAAAGGGACAAGCAATGAGAAGAGTGTAAAACGTTTTTTGGCACACAAATAGAAAACCTATTTGAATTGCAATAAGATCACAGTTCCGCAGTAACAAACATATGTATGAATAATTGATTTCTTTAAGCTCAGTGCTAAACTGAAATGTAATCCATGACACAAGCATTTTTTCGTTCGTATCATATGAATACCATACAACTGCTCTATTTACCTTTCACTTTATTTGCCCTTTGCTTTTAAACCAAGTCACAGATATGCATTTTCCATTTAATATTTCTTCTTTTGTCTTCCGTTTGCTACACAAGCAGAAATCCCAATCTCGCTCACTGTCCACATCCTCTGGCAATTCAGTACTGGATAGTCGACGACATTTAATGGAATTGGATGAAGGTGAACTATTCATGGAGTTGATTCGTGATGTGGCCAATGAATTGGACATTGATGTGCTGTGTCATAAAATTCTCGTGAATGTGGGGCTGCTTACTCATGCAGATCGTGGCTCATTGTTTTTGGCCAAGGGACCACCGAACAATAAATACCTGGTTGCAAAGCTCTTCGATGTGACACAAAAGACAGGTAAGCCGACACTACTACTTTTCGTAATACTCACAATGACTCGTCTGTGTCTGTGTGGCAATTTGAACTCGACGTTGCATGCAAATGAAGTCGAAGAGCAAATCACAAGGGGCAAAAGCACGAATTGAAATGAAAGTGAAAATAGATGTTTTTCTTTTGCCTCTTTACCAATGGTTTTTTTTTTTTTTTTCTTACAATAAATGCACTGATTTATTTGCTATCTAAAATTTTTTCTGTTGACTGATTTTGCCATCTGTCGTTTGCAGCGCTCAAGGATGCTGTTAAGAAGGCTAAATTGGAAGAGATACGAATACCGTTCGGCGTTGGCATTGCAGGCATGGTGGCGCAAACTAAGGAGACGATCAACATAAAGGAAGCATACAAGGATGCACGTTTCAACTGTGAGATAGATTTAAAGACTGGCTATAAAACGAATGCAATATTATCGATGCCCATTTGTAATTACGAAGGTGACGTTATTGGAGTAGCACAAATTATCAATAAAACGAATGGTAAGTTGAGAAAGAGTTTAGTTGGTTAATACAGAAAAAGTATAATTGTTATTTAAAATGGAATTTATTAGTAACTTCTTACTTAACCACTGGAAAGCATAATTGTATGGACTTATGAAATACAAGTAATTATGTGTTGGCATAAAATAGTCATTAAAACAAAATCCCTTGGTTGGGTCCTTCATATATTCATAGTTTTAACTGTAAATTACAATTTTTTAGACTAACTTACAATAGTTAGTTCAAATTACCGCCTAGTGCAAAGTACAGTTTGCTGGAAATTTGCGATTTGAACGAATAAATTAAAATTTCGGTTGCGATTTTTTGTAAGTAAATTTGCAAGATAAAAGGTACACTGGAGATAATTGATTTCAGCTGTTCTTAGCATTCTAGTCGCAACTGCAAATGGGGATGGAATATTTTCCCAAATTCATTTGAATAAAAACAAGAAATAAACTAGAATTCCAGCAGTCTCCGGTCTTTCTTTAAATGCTTTAGGAGGTACTTAATTTGAGTTATCGAATCAATTGACCAAGAAATGGTCTGACTTTTCTTAGCAGTTTATCAAATATAACACTGTAGGAACGCTGAAATGACACAAAGAATGCCGAGCCACGTAAACTTGATTTTGGGTTGTAGATTATGAGTCTGTATACTGTTTTTCTAGATCAGGTCATTTACCCAAGATATTCTCATTTTAAGTTTGCAATGTGAATAAAAAGAATTAAAATTCTAACATGGAAAATGTTTTTCATACGCCATGTGTGAATGTGACCGTTTACATGGCGTATGAGTAACATTCTTTCCTGCATAAAAAATCATTACGCATTTTAATTTATTTATCCATCGATTTTCTTTGTTAGTAGCTTTATTTTTTTGTATAAAAGAATAGGGCTCGAATCGTCACATACGATATTTGACTACTCATCACGTTAACACACATTTCTCGGATTATGACATACGTGAACGTACTCTTTGTCCCATACAGCTTACGTTACGATTCGAGCCCAGGCTTCCATCTCGTAGCTATTCTATTTCACTTTGGACCATCGTTGTAAAGGCGGTACGAAAAAATATACTGGCACTACAAAGAACGCTTCATCGGAAAATGTGCGCAACCACAAACAGTTCTCAATGGACTTGTGCGATAGACAGTTGTTACATTTTACCTTCAACGCTTCCGCCCTAATTGGAGCAGTATAAAGTAAAACTAAGCTGACTACCCTACTGTAAAATATTCATCTAGTATGTTTAGGACTACCATTATTAGGCGTAAATCTAGATAGATGTGCTTGAACATTCGAAGCCTTTTCGGAAGCACGCTCGAGTTGGGTCTTAAAATTTATTCGGCCAACAATCATAACGCCCATATATTTAATTGTGGACTTGGATGTGGTGGATTCGGACCAAACGTTAAATCTTATCGTGTCTGCGACTTTCCTGCTGCATAATAAAACTGCCTATGTTTTGTGATCCGCGAGGCTTAAATTCCTACTCCTCCTCTTGCATACCTTTTATAGTGTTGTTAGCTTTGGTCTCAATCTCCTAGATATGTTCCGCTACGACCACAACGGCGATATCATCTGAAAATCCATATTTGTACGAGGAAGCATATCGATACGCAGACTGCCGCCATACTTCAGATTCCAAAGGAGTCATCCGAGAACAGATCCCTGAAGCACCCTCACCGAGACGCTACGCTGTACTGCACAGATATCCTATCGCCTTAGGACGTTAGCTTACGGTCTGGTAGATAGCTTCTGATTATTCTTGTGATATAAATAGCTTGGAGCTTCAATTTTAAAGAGCGTTTCCATTATGCGCTACCAGTTCGCGGTATTAAAAGCGTTCTTAACGTCCAGCGTTATTATAGCGCAGCCTCTTTGGTTATTTGTCGATCACAAATTTAATGGCGTCTTTGGTCGACCGGGATTATCTGAAGCCAAACTGGAGGGTAATAGAAAACCCATTTATCTGCGATCATCGTGAGCCTGTATACAGATAATTTTCTCAATGGTTTTCTCTACTGTGTCCAGCAGGCATATTGTGGGGGTAAGACGGCGGTTTATCCGGTTTTTGATTTTCCAACTAATTACTCGGAAATGTGTATGTGTAAAACGTTTTTGTAAGTAAGTCCGGCCGTGAGTGTATCGTCACATTGAGGGCCTTATTAGGTACTCCGTCAACCCTTGGTGGTCTGGTATATTCGTGTCGTGAACTATTCAGCTTATAAAAAAACAGCTTCGATTTGAAGGGCACGTAAATTTGTTGGCGGAAATTCGTCGAATATATATATATATTGAAGCATCACCTATTTAAAATCGCTTAACAAAAATCATGCGTTGTCTATCTCAACACTTTCACAGGTTCCATGGAATTTAGCGACCATGATGTAGAGATCTTTCGTCGTTACCTGACCTTTTGTGGCATTGGCATACAAAATGCCCAACTATTCGAGATGTCCGTCCAGGAATATCGACGCAATCAAATACTTTTGAGCTTGGCGCGCAACATATTCGAAGAGCAAAATAATTTGGAATGCTTGGTAACGAAAATTATGACTGAAGCGCGTGAGTTGCTGAAATGCGAAAGATGCGCAGTGTTTTTAGTGGATTTGGATTGCTGTGAAGCGGTAGGAGGAGAGAAACTAATTTTAGTGGATATCATAAATTTTATACACACTTCTTGGTATTAATTACAGAGTCACTTGGAGAAGATTATTGAAAAGCCAAATCAACTTCAAAGTCGATTAACTCGCGCGATTAAAGATGTTGAGGACGATGAAAAGGATGACAAAGTAAGTAAGAAGGAAATAGAATAAGTCTCGTTAAAGTAAAGTGTTTCTTTTCTGCGCTTTTACAATTCCCACACGGCACCTCACAGCAAAAGACGCGCACCCGCTTTACGGTGCTTTTTGAGTTGGGCGCCTCCAATCAATCGGCCAACATTTCTCGTCCCTCCGTCAATGATCTATGCAATTCCACGTTGGCGCAGATTGCACAATTTGTTGCGACAACCGGTCAGACGGTGAATATTAGCGATGTACATGAGTGGGTGCGCGAGCATAATCAGATCCGTACTGAGAATGAAATGGACGCCACGAAGGCGATTCTATGTATGCCGATAGCGAATGCGCAAAAAACGGTAATAGGTGTGGCGCAGCTGATCAATAAGGTAAGGCACTGATCTCGAGTTGTAGTAATCCAAAAAATGGAAAAGAAAAAAAAAATACTGATTTTTTTTTATCATTTTAGAGCACTGGTCTGCCTTTTACCGACTCGGATGTTTCAATTTTCGAAGCTTTCGCTATATTTTGTGGCCTGGGCATACACAATACGCAAATGTATGAGAATGCTTGCAAACTAATGGCCAAGCAGAAGGTGGCATTGGAATGTTTATCTTATCATGCGACCGCTAGTGCGGAGCATACTAACAAGCTGGTCAGCGATAAAATTGAGTCGGCCGAAAAATATGATCTTTATAGTTTTAAGTTTATTGGTAAGTTGTGGAAGTTCATAAATCCGTAGATGCTTAATGGTTAGAGATCATCTCTTTCCTTCCCTTTCGGCAGACTTTAATCTCTGTGATGATGACACCTGTCGCGCCGTCTTGCGCATGTTTCTACAATGCAATCTAGTCGCACAATTTCAAATACCCTATGAAGTAAGACGGTGACTCGTAACTCCCAGTGGTGCATTTCTAAGCTAATCATATGTTTCTCTCCAGGTTCTTTGCCGTTGGGTGTTGAGTGTACGCAAGAATTACCGTCCCGTTAAATACCACAATTGGCGTCATGCACTCAACGTGGCTCAAACTATGTTCGCTATGCTGAAGACTGGTAAAATGGAACGCTTCATGACTGACTTGGAAATACTAGGTCTCTTGGTGGCATGTTTGTGTCACGATCTCGATCATCGTGGCACAAATAATGCATTTCAAACCAAAACCGAATCACCATTGGCTATTTTGTATACGACAAGCACCATGGAGCATCACCACTTCGATCAGTGTGTAATGATTTTGAATTCGGAAGGCAATAATATATTTCAGGTGAGATTTACATATTATACTAAAGTCAACAGTGAGCTAAAAGTAACAGCGTGTTAGTGTCTTAACATGGGCTATATTCCGCTAAGCTGGAGAGAGACGAAAGTCAGGGAGGTCCTTTCGCGCACCAAAGACTTTAGACTCCAAGGCTGACCTTTTTCCTCTTAAATACATTAGTAGCGTCTCGCCAGTGCAGAAAATCTCCGAAAAGCGCTCTACACTAGCTTCTCGGGCTGGTCGAAAAGAAATTATAAGATGAATGGTATGCTTTGGTTGTATTTTTAGACATAGAGGACGCATTCAAAAACATTGACGCAAGCGCCATAGTGGGTTCGGCACTGATTCTATACTCGTCCGCTGGAAGATAACCGCTAGGCTTGGTAACACCACAAGAAATAGACAGGTCTTATGAATCACCTCCAAACCCAAACTAACCAACCTACATTTAACCATTCCTTAAATGTTTCACTAGGGTCTGATTCCACAGCGTACATCCAACGCAGTTCTATCTTGAGCGCATAAGGGTGTATAAGGATCTGCTTAGACCAACAAGTGACTGCGTTTCCAAAAAAAATTTGGATTGCTCGGGGTTTGAATTAAACTTATAGGCCGAGCTTTTTAACATAACCTCGACAACTTTGCCATCATATTTTACTGGCAAGATATAAATCACAGTGTTAAGCGTCAGAGTGATCCGCTGGAATCTTCTGGCAAGACCTCCTTAAATATACAATAAGACTACAGGTTTATATTCAGTAAAACACCTTTGTTAACCTTCCTATTGTTCCTTACAATGCATGACGTTCTTCGAGTAGGTAGCAGCTGCCCCTGACTGTAGCTTAGCCGCTTAGTCTGCGGATTTATTGCCGAAATTTCGGCTTAAAAATATTACAGTACTCCGGGAGCTTAAAGGACTGTTTGGACAAGTAAAACGCAGCTCCTACTTCTTCGTTCATTCTGGAACCATAAATAACTAATTTTATTTTGTTGTCTATCAGGCACTTTCGCCCGAGGACTATCGCTCTGTTATGAAAACCGTGGAAAATGCTATACTCTCCACCGATCTGGCGATGTATTTTAAGAAGCGTAATGCTTTCCTGGAGCTCGTGGAAAATGGCGAATTCGATTGGCAGAGTGAGGAGAAGAAGGAGCGTAAGGCACACTTTAGTGATTTTCGATTAAACTTGAAGCTAACTTGAATGAATTTGCAGTGCTATGCGGCATGATGATGACCGCCTGTGACGTGAGTGCCATAGCAAAGCCTTGGGAGGTGCAGCATCGACTAGCCAAGCTGGTTGCAGATGAATTTTTCGATCAAGGGGATCTAGAGAAGCTACAGTTGAACACACAACCAATCGCAATGATGGATCGGTGAGTAAACAAAAGAGGAAAATTTGAGGGAGACATTTTTATGGCCAACATTTGCAGTGAGCGCAAAGATGAATTGCCCAAAATGCAGGTAGGATTCATAGACGTCATCTGCTTGCCGCTATATCGCGTTCTTTGCGACACTTTTCCCTGGATAACACCACTGTATGAAGGCACGCTAGAAAATCGACGCAATTGGCAAGACTTGGCTGAGAAAGTGGAAATGGGTCTGACTTGGATAGATCATGATACGATTGATAAACCAGTGGAGGAATTTGCCGGTAGGTCCATTTAAAATTTTCCAATATAATCGTAAAGACTTTCATATATGTATGTACTAAAACATACATACACGCGCTCCATTCTTTCCAACCAGGTTGCGCCGATGAGGAGATTAAGGATATTGAATTCACGGTTACCACACTCAATTGTCATCCGCAGCAACTGCATGGCGATGATGCCTCCACGCCGGAACACCATCGCGGCAGCACACGACTGAGTATCAAAAAGACCGGCGCGCTAGGCAAAGCGGTGCGTTCGAAGCTAACAAAAACGCTCTACAACAGCATGGATGGTGTCAAACAAAAATCATCCTTCAAGCTATTAGACACTCATGTGAGCGAAGATTTAGATGATAAAAGTCCAACAAGTCCTTCACAGCCCACGGCAGCAGGCCCCGGTCACATTTCTGCTTCGTCGTCGACCTCGTCGGCGGGTACTGTCGGCACGGCCGAGAAGTCAAAGAAGCGCTCCAAGCTGTGCTCGCTATTGTGACGAAAGCCCTCCAATTAGAATTTGGCGACCTCCACCGACAAGCACAGCAGCGGTGGAGGGTCGACCGATGTCTAATTGGATTAGAGTTTGTAGAAAAATTGTTTCAATTCACTCACAGTAAAGAAAAGCATTTTTTGAGTTGTGCATGGATGTTATGTGCTTCTCGCAAAAGTAGAGTAGGCAGAGAAAAGGGAAAAAAGAGCTAAAAAACCAAACAAGTAAATAAACGAATCAAAATTTTTAATGAAAATATGAAACACTGGATCAAAAAGAAAATAGATGAAATTTTAAATAGGAATAAGGATTCGGCTAATGCAAGAAAGTCAAAATAAAAAATTTTTTATTTTTATTTTTTGGTTTTCAAAGGCGTTTGGGGTCGAAATATCAGCAATACGACTACATTAGTGTTCGAAATTAATTGATTAAAGATCTATATTAAAACTTATTAAAGGAAAACAAACGAAGAAATATAGTCTACGTACATACAGGCAGCGACAAAAATATGGATACCCTGACGTTTTAACGATTTTATTTATTTATATTTACCATGCAGAATGTCTCTTCTCTTTTACTATATGAAGCAACACCCTCTGCGAAAAAAATTCTCAAAAATCATTGCTAATTTTGGGCGGCTTGAAACGTGCACTTTATTATACTAAAATTTAATGGGCTGCAAAACTGCATGCATACTCCAGATTTTTCTAAGTAGAATTAAAAAATTTTTAATTTCAATGAAAATTTCTTGGTATTTGCTACATTTTCCCCGAGTTCTATATAAAGTCAAAGAAATTGATTTTTTTGGGTTTTGCTGTAGAATGAACTATATTTTTATAAAAAAAATTTAAAAATTTTTTATGCAAAATATAAATATGTATATTGATTCCTGTAGGTTTTTCTGTTGAATGAACTATGTTTTTATAAAAAACTTAAAAAATTGTCTATGCAATATATAAGTAAATACAATTTTTAAAACGAGAGGGTATGCATATTTTTGACGCTGACTGTATATGTGTGCTAAAATTCTGGATAAAGTCTTACCCAAAACAAAAGCGTACTAAGCGTTGCAACAAAGCACTCTTTTTTTCTCCTTTGGTTGAATGTATTCCATGAGGAAAATATGTAGAAGTAACCCATGAATATGTACAAATGTATGTAATGTGGCTTCACTTAAACTCTTAGTTAATATTAGTAGTACATTTTTGTATAAAATACAAATAATTATATGTATGTATGTACATCAACAACTTCTTTTTTATAATTACATAAAAAGCTAGTCAAATTTTCTTTAAAAAAAAAGTTTGTATTTATATACAAGCATTACTGCTGCAGCAATGCAATTTCTTGTTCTAGTCGTATCAAATGAAAAACTAAGTAAATATAAATTAAATTTACATAAAAATGTTTATTTTATTTTAAGTTTAGATATATTAGAAAAATAGCGTAGGTTTGCTTAAGAAACGCCATGCGAGAAAAAGCAATTTTGTAAATAGTGAAAAATTACTTTATTACATTATGTATGTATGTACGTAAACTTAGCTCGGAGAGCTTTAAGAGCCGTGCACACTTTCAAGCTACGCCCCTTCGCGCACTTAGTGATGGCAAAAATGTCGCAACTACTACTTACTATGATAGCAATACAAACCCAATGATGATATTTATGAAATCTCAAATATAAAAAATTATGTATTTATGTATGTAAGTTTCTATGTAATTGGCTGTTGAAAAATTAATTAATTAAATGTGGCTAAACAAAAAAAAAAGAAAACGTTTTGAATTATTAAATTGAGTAAAGAAACTTTATAAATGTGGGCACACAGTTTACATACAATTGAATTTTCTGAAAGTTATACTAATGCAAAAATTTGTTAAATAAAGAATTTTGTTTTCTTTTTAAATTTCCAAAATGCATTTGATTGTTTTCGCAAAATGTATGGTAAAAATTTTAAACTTTGTTATTAGTGTTATTTAGCCCAAAAAGTGTAGTGTAGTGCAAACAAAATTCATAACAAATAGCGTAGTATAATCTTGCGTTACTAAAAAATTTTTAAAACTGCATACTCGTACATACATGTGTACATAGGTGAACGCTTACAGAATATACTGCAAACTACGTAATGAAAAATCAAAAAAAAATATTAACCTATAAAAAACGTGCATGTCAATTTCTAATTTAACCCTTCGTCAGGCGCAATATGGCGACCGTCAATTTCGGGCGCAATGTGGCTAACAAACACATACTAAACAAACAATTATATAGTTTATACATCTTGGGAATGCTGGCACGGCATTTAGGCATGTTGAAAGGAAATAAATGTAAACAGTTTTGTAAAAATCCATTGACATAAATTTAGCAGCTACTACAAAAATCTTAAAATAAAATTAAAAAATCAAAAGGTAAAACATACAACGTAAAATAGTTTAGAAAAAATGCAAACATTCCATAAAGATTCAACTCTGGGACATGCACATAATAGCTAGTTTTAGATGAATAATAAAATTAAAAAAAAATAGTTCTGAAAACAATTAATTTAATACATTTCACGAGTTCGGGCGCAATGAGCTTCTCGGATCAATTCTACATAACTTCTCGTACTGGAAGTCAAACAAAAACTGAGTGGTTTTGCTGTATAGAGCACATCAAAAGAGGCAGCTACTGAGCGTCAGCAAATTTAACGGTATAAAAGGGCAGGGCGAAGTAAAAAGATGTGCTGGCTGTGGCTCACAGACCAGTTGCGCCCGACGAAGGGTTAAGTATGTAATGCATGGAGAGCTTATACAAAATACCCTCTAACACCTCTCTAGAGTTCCCTATCTAGCTCTAATGTGACTCATGTTATTGTTGTTGTTGGTCTAACAGCATACAAATTCCTCACAGAGTTTTTGGGAAGTATTGCTGAAGGGAAAGTCTTTAGCCAGATATAAATCTGGGTCGTTCCGGTTACGTAGACGTAGACGTGACATTGGCCCGTAGTCATAGTCAAAATAAAGTCGACTTTAAAGTTAGTTGCAGCTTTTTTGACAGATATCCCATTGAAAATTATGTCAAAAAGCTGCAACTAACTTTAAAGTCGACTTTATTTTGACTATGACTACGGGCCATTGATGTTAACGTTCTCACGACAGTCGGGTCTATGTAACTAAGTAGATCTATTTATATATGAGGCCTTGAGAGCCACAGTAGCCTAGCTGACATTTCAAAAAAAAAAAAAAATGAGGTGCAGCTTAAAATGCATTACTATAAACGACATGATAATAGCCCGACCACGGAAAATTGCAGATAGACGATATTGAATATGAGCCATCACCACGTGCATGTGTATGTGTATGCACAACAACATAATCAAAAGCAAAAGTAAGCACAAATAAAATAAAATGGAAAATTAGAAAAAAAATTCTGTAGTTTCCTTATATGAAATTGATGAGGGGAACTCATGGATAAGAAAATTCGGAAAATTACGAAACAAAAAACATTAAGGGCCAATTTAAGTGCGGATTGATGATTAAATTCTAATATTCATTTTCGGCTATTTAAATAAGAACTCCTAATTAAAGTTAAATGTGATTTAAATTTCCGATATGAAATTAGACATATCTATATGTAATATGAAGCTTGATTTAAGAGAAGCGAGAAATCATAAAAAGAGCGTCATAAAGTATGCAATATTCGTCCACAAAACTCTTGATCAAAGCTCAATCATTCAACATTGTTACTTGCTATGGAAGTACTTGCAAGCAAAGGGAGATTCGTCAGTAATACCTTACCAGCAATCTACTTACTTTACTTTAACAAAGACATGACCGCCTTATGTAAGCAGGAATTTAGAATGTACATTTGGTATCAGGCATACTTCTGAGCCGCTTTATAAAGTAAGTTACGTAGAACGTAGAGCAGTCGCTCGGAGTAGTTCGGCGCTTGGAAATAACTTCGGTGGCACGTTATTTTGCAACTGACAACGAAATGTGTCGTCAGAGGTGTTCATTTTATGCTTTACTAGTAGATGACATTAGTCATGACATTTTTGGTACTAAAAACTGAAAGAAAACATGGCCTATACCGTAACTGCAAGTCTATACCTGCGCTCTGGCGCTCGAATACGAACTGTTTTTTCGCGTGCGAAATCTTATCGCAGGGAAATTTTTGTACGTGGGCATTTGATCGCATACCAGTGCAGTGCGAATTTGTTGTAAGTTTTTTATAAATGTTGCGAAAATTTTATTTCATTTATTTGGTTGTGTCTGAACAACGTTTCTCCGAATAACACCGTTTCTTTCCTACTCGGAATCAAAGCAAATATGAAAAAGCAGTGGCTAAACGCATAGTTAGGTATGCGATAAATGGTATGAGATATCTCTTACTTTATATCGTATACTTTCTGCGATGGCCGGTCTACACCTGCGATATATCTCTTAAGATGTTTCGTATGCGAGCGCCCATAGCAGGTATAGACATGCAGTCAGGTGTTTACCTATTTTGCCAGTTGGTATGTACATATGTACGTATGTATGAACACATCTTCATGAGTATGGGCTTGTTCGAGTTGCAATCACAACCGCAGTGTTGCGCGAATTATTAAAGTGCTAACTGAAATGGAAAAAGTCGTGACTAATATTTTTAATATTTATTTTTTTCATAAAATGATGTGGGTGTTGTAATTCTATGAAATCCATCATATCAATCAAAAAGTTAATTTTGAATTTTTTATTAGTTACGACCTTTTATATTTCAGCGACGATGTTTGTTACGTCTTTTTGCATTTCAGGTGACGATATGTAATTCTGATTACTAATACTTCTTTACTACTAGTATACTTCTACTACTAGTAATACTAGTACTCTACGTGAACTTTGTTACTTTTATTCAACTCAGAATTTATGACATCAAAAGAGTCCGAAATGGGACAGTCTACACAGTTGACTGGTCTTAAAATCATATACATATATGCGTATGGAAAATTTCCTACTTCATATGGAAATATCGTTTTGTAAAAATAAAAAATTTGTTCGTTATATAATATTGAAAGCAGGTGTTTTCTTTCTCGTGGTGAATGCTTTAACAAATTGTAGCAGTAGTGCAATATCATAAGTAAGGCGACCATTTTCTACTATAAAGAGTTCCTTCTAGTGTCAAGACATATTTTTTCAGTGTAGGACTGAATAATCAAAAGTGTTTTCATTCAGCCCAAATTTGCAATCAAAATGGTTGCGAAAGTTTTTCTTACTTTCACATTCTCTGTGATTTTCCGCATGGCGCATTTCACCACGATTTTCCGTAGCACTACACGTTAAGTATAAATAAATAAATAAATATTTTTAATTTATATTTTTAACTAATCTTAACAGTAGTTGTTATATTTTTTATCCGACTTCCAAAAAAGGAGGAGGTTATCAGATATGTATGTATGTACATATGAGCCGTTTATTTTGAAAGTGGCTTAAGTCGCTTCATATCTATTGGGCTTAAATTACCGGTTACTTGTAACCGAATGCCGTCTATCGTCATAAACTAATGACAAAACCATTTGCCCATGGCTGATGAAGTTGAAGGAATAACCAGCGCGTTCAGGTACAAGGAACCGGCCACATTTAAGCACAAAAGGTGTGACATACATATTTAGAATGTATGAACACATGTCCGTCCCCTGCAAACCATTTTTTCTGAGTATTCTAAGCTGTAGAGAAATTTTAAAGAATTCGTAAAGATCTCATCCGATTTTTTTTTCTAAAATAAAATAAACTGTGCACGCTTCGATCCTCGTACGAAATTTCGAAAGCAAATCGGTAAAGCAATGAAAATAATGTGGCTATGTGAAGAATTACTTGCAGAATTTTTTCAGAGTTTTCTTGATTTTTCGTACAGAAATTTCTTTGAAGATTTTTGAAAAAATCGTTAAAAAAGTGAGATACTCCTAAAGATTTCGGGAGCTTTGGTTTGCAGGCTCGCTATGAATTTTCGTTTTTAATATATTAAATGTGTATACTGTGTTTGACTATAGTCACTATAGTTATATAGTTTTCAATTAAACGCACGAGATCAAGTGGCATGCACACTAATACATATAGTAAAATTAATGGCAACTTTAAATATATTATAAATGTATAAAAACCGTATTGAAAAAGCTTGAAGAATCAATTCGGGTCGACTTTATTTCGGCTATGAATAAATGTATTTTGTATATTTTTTGCGTTTTGCAAAGCAAAGTTTGTAGAACGAAAATTTTCAAATTAAATTAAATAAAGAATGCTAAATAAATACACGGAAGCTTGTTTCATTTGTTAATAGCGGAGAGAAGTGCACTATAATTAAACTGTGAATCTGAGTTTAGTTTAATTATAAAATTTAATGCACTTCATTACGAATCGAAATTCGAGCTACTTCATCTTCTTTATTTCAATATTTATTGTTTTTTATTAATATTTTATGCATTAAATACATGTGTAGGTTTAACTAAAACGCTTATACGTACATCTATATTTATTAAATATTTTACTTTTGTTCAATTTTAATCAGTGACTTACAAATACATACTATATCGCTTGAATGTTTCTATATTTTTCAATATACTAAACTGTTTGCATAAACACAACTGATCTACATGAAACACTACATATAGTTAGCGTCGTACCTCTGCAGCTTAAATTATTTAGTACTTTTTTTCATTCATGCACCAAGTTTTTTCATTGTCTACGCCACAATTACTTTAATAATGAAAAATGGGTCTCAAAATGCAGTACATATTTGCTTAATCCAATTATATCTGTACATATGTAAGTATAAATATGGCGCTGTCTGTAAAATGTTCATAATTATTCGCATGGAGCTAATTTTAAATGCCTAATTTTTTGATTTCATGCGGCTTTTTTCCGAGGATCATTGACACCATTTTCGTATTAGCAGTTTCCGCTAGATATTGAACTAAGTAAAGTATTTAGTATGTGATATATTATGTATAAATACAATTAGGTTTAACTAAAACATATTAAATTAAAATGGTTTTCTTAATAAAATCCGTCATAGCTTAGGAAATGCTAGAGCCTAATAAAAACCATTGGATAATCGAAGCTCGATTTGTGTTACGTTTTCTTCATCGTCTTTGTTTGATTATCGCAAACGTTGGTCTTATAAATTTTCACATGAAGAATTCTTCGGTCGAATGGGAAAGCGGAAGTCACGTCCGTCCTAGACGATCTAAAACAGATATTTCTATGACTCGCAAGCCTCGATACGTGGGATCGATCACTTGCAGTCCTTTTGGATTGTAAATTCGCTCATTTTGGGAGGCGATGAATTTGGAAATTTTGCGAAGCGTCTGTTGTAGAAAACATTTCGATAGAAATGAACATGTAGCACATTTAGTTTGCTACAAGCTATTGATATAAAGGCAGCACTTACCTTTTCGTAGTGTGTTTCCGAACACATGTACACCAAGTAAGCGGTGATGCAGCCAATACATCCCTCACAATATGTACTACAAGAGCCTTTTTCCGCCTCCGCAAAAAATTCATTCAGCCTATTGATGGTTGACTCAAATACCTGCCGCTCAACCTGCACAAAGGGCGTATCATATTACAACTATCATATAAACA